TAAAATTTTGCATGCTTTTGTAAGCACATGCAAAAACCATGTTAAAACCTAATTACTTCTTTTTTACTTAAAAGTAACGCTATTGAAAAAAGTAGTTATGTTTTGGCATGGTTTTTTTTAATTTCTTTAAAATTGATTGTTTCTTATTTTAATATGTGCTTTTTATAATAAATAAAAAACTTATACATTAATAAATTATTTGGAAAAAAAATTTCTGAAGTAATGAATTTTTTTTGAAAAATCTTAATCAAACGCCATTGTTTGCATTAACAAAATTAAAGTTACATGATGTTTGTTTTTCTGTTTTCTGTCTGTTTTTTAACAAACATGCACTAATTTGCAAAACAGCCTAATTTGCTTACATTTTTAAACATTGTGCTGTGTTCATTATATTGATTTCTAAAAAAATAAATTCAAAATCTGAGGGGTAAGGGACATATGCCCTCATGGCCCTTACCCTCACAATGGATTTGCCCTTGCATTAGCCTATTTATTCATGGGAGAGAATTTTGTTAGTTTAGTTTAATTATTTTTTTTTAGATTTTATTCTCTTTTCTGTTTATGGATTATTTATTTTAATTTTGCTTTACTTTTTTAGCATCTTTTTTATAAGCTCTAAATATCAAATCGTGCAAAGAGCTTTGGCTAAGTTGTCAAACAAAGTATTATGTGCATGGCCATATAAGTCAGGTCAGGTTTATCCTGCTACTGGTCAGTCAGGTCAGGTCAGTCATCAGTCAGGTCAGGTTTATCCTGCTACTGGTAACATGTAACCCAGTACAATCTGCTTCATGTCCTGCTGCCTTGTAGGATATGCCTTTTTAGGCAAAGGCTAGGAGATGCAAACTCCGACATAAAACACCCCCTGCCTTAGGGCTCTTGGTTGAGTAAAGGCTAGAGATGGTGTCTCGATAAAAATACTCATCTTGGGCAGATGTTACATGCATCCGGCTGCTGTCTTGTAGAAGGCCTCTTAGGCAAAGACTTAAGGGGTAAACAGATTCTATCTGTTGACCAGCCTCGCACCCCTTCGTCATCTATTAGGCTGGCGCAGACGTATTTTTAATACATTGTTTCCAGTTTAGGATGTTGAACGCTGGATCTTCTAGACTCAATTCATGGGTTTTGCTTGTGCCTCTGTTTTAATGACTAGGCAACTCATTCTATTATCTCCAAATGAGGGTACAGCTCTAAAATTCAGTTTTATGGTTCTGAGGCCGGCTGTTAGTCAGGTTTCCCGAACTCTGTGGTAGCTCTCAGAGAGGCTGATTCCATCAACAGCTGAAAAATATCAGAGTACTAACAGTGCCATGTTGCGCATGGATGGTGTCCCTGTTTGTACTTTTGGTGTGCATTGCCAAGGCCACATTGGAGCCCTTTGTTACGGCTTAGGGTTTATTAGTCAAGTTGATTAACAAATTTAAAAATGAATAAAGTAACAAAAACTATAAAACACAAAAAACCAGTCATCGCCAAGTTTGCTAAACCTATCATTCACCAATATTCATGGTCTTCGAAGTAACTTTTCTTCTGTTGAGTCTTATCTCTTGCAAAGTTCACCAGACCTGCTTGCTCTTTGTGAGACTAATTTGAGTTCAGCTGTCTCATCTTGTGATCTTAGTGTTGATGGTTTTCTTCCTTTAATTCGTAAAGACTCCAATAGTCACATGCTTGGCCTGGGCATTTACATTCGTAAGAATTCACCCATTTGTCGGGAAACTAGGTTTGAATCCACAGACTACTCTTTTATGTGCTTTCGTTTAGCACCACTTCACTCTATCATCTTTCTCTTTGTTCTATATCGCTCTCCCTCATCAAGACTGCGCTCTTCTTGATGTTATTTCTGCTTATATTGACCAAGCCCTCATTCTTTATCCATCAGCCAATATTGTTGTTGCTAGTGACTTTAATGTTCATCACACTGAATGGCTTGGCTCTAGTGTCAGTGACTCTGCAGGCATTAAGGCCCACAACTTTTGTCTTTCTCAATCCCTAACTCAAATAGTCAACTTTCCAACTCGCTTTCCAGACAACCCAAATCATTTACCTTCTCTACTCTACATGTCTTGTTTCTGATCCTAGTCAGTGTTCAGTTTCTTCACACTCACCCTTAGGTGTGTCTGATCATGGTTTGGTCTCTCTAAAACTATTATCTCATTCTTCTTCATCATTAGAATCCCCCTATCATCGTATATCTTACAACTACCTTAAAGCTGACTGGGACTCTTTTCGTGACTTTCTTCGTGATGGCTCCTGGGTAGAAATCTTTCGTCTCCCTGTTGACAAATGTGCTTCTTACATAACTTTGTGGATTCAGGCTGGCATGGAATCCTTTATTCCCTCTCGACGATTCCAGGTCAAGATTCACTCTTCTCCATGGTTTTCTTCACATTGTGCTGCTGCAATTGCCAATCCAAACCATTACTTCCATATCTATCAGCAAAACAGTTCTCCAGAAAACAGACGTCTCTTTATTACTGCTAGGAACCATTGTAAAAAGGTTTTGTCTAACGCCAAAACCCGCTATTCTAAGATCATGAAATCTCGTATTTCATCACAAAAATTAGGCTCTCGTGACTTCTGGAGAATCTTTAATAGTATCAATAATAAGGGCAAGTCTGTAACTCCACCTCTTTTGTACGGTTCAGACTTTGTCACCTCACCTAATGACAAAGCTGAATTGTTTGCCAAGAACTTTTCATCAATATAATCTCTTGATGCCACTAGTTGCGTTTTACCTGATATACCCGTCAAACAGGTTGATCCATTGCTCAACATTCGTATCACTCCAGCTTCTGTATCTGAAGTGATTTCCCGCTAAGACTCTTCTACAGCTTGCGGCCCGGACAACATACCTGTTATAGTCTTGCAGAAATGTTCTCCTGAGCTGTTGTCTATCTTTTCAAAAGTATTCAACAAGTGCTTATCAGAGTCTTGTTTTCCAGCCTGCTGGAAAGCAGCATCTGTTATCCCTATTTTTAAAAATTCTGGAGAGCGATCTGACTCATCTAACTACCGTACCATTAGTCTTCTTCCTATCATAAGCAAGGTTTTTGAATCTTTAATTAACAAACACTTAATCTCTCATCTCGAATCTCATAACCTACTTTCTGGTCATCAGTATGGATTTCGATCTTCTCGTTCTACGGCTGATTTGCTATCAGTAATAACCGATAGGTTTTATCGCACATTAGATAAAGGTGGAGAGGTTAAGGCCATTGCTCTTGACATTTCTAAAGCCTTTGATAAAGTTTGGCATGCTGGTCTCCTCCATAAGCTTTCTTCTTATGGTGTATCTGGAAACATCTTTAAGATTATTGAATCTTTCCTTTCCAATCGTAGTATAAAAGTTGTCTTTGATGGACAGCACTCTTCTTCTTATTCTGTAACCTCAGGGGTTCCCCAAGGTTCAATCCTTGGCCCTATACTCTTTTTAATTTACATTAACGATCTTCCAGATATTCTCACATCTAAGGTGGCATTGTTCGCTGATGATACTACCATTTATTCTGTCACGATAAGAAGCCAACTCCCTCTGATTGCTTGCAGGGGGCATCTGAGCTCGAAAAGGATCTCACTTCTGCTACAGCATGGGGCTCGCAGTGGCTGGTGAACTTTAATTCAGATAAAACTCAATTTTTTTCGGCCAATCGTTATCGCAATAATTTAGACCTTCCTATATTTATGAACGGTAATGTACTTGATGAGTCTCCTACCCTTCATCTTCTAGGATTAACTCTTACTTCTGATCTTTCTTGGAAACCTTATATCAAAACCGTTGCAAAATTAGCATCTGCTAAAGTTGCTTCTCTTTATTGAGCTCGTTACTTTCTTACTCTGGATTCTATTCTATATCTCTATAAATCTCAAATCCGGCCTTGTATGGAATACTGTTGCCATATCTGGGGCGGATCTTCTAATGATGCCCTTTCTCTTTTAGACAAGGTGCAAAAACGCATTGTAAACATAGTTGGACCTGCTCTTGCAGCCAACTCTCAACCTCTGTCACATCGTCGTAATGTTTCTTCTCTTTCTCTTTTCTACAAATACTATAATGGGCACTGCTCTAAAGAGCTAGCGTCTCTTGTGCTGTCTACTAAAATTCATTCTCGTGTTACTCGTCATTCAATTAAGTCTCATCCTTTTTCTGTTACTGTTCCTAAGTGCTCCAAAAACTCTTATTCGTCTAGTTTTTTTCCTCGAACATCAGTTCTTTGAAATTCGCTTCCTTCATCTTGCTTTCCTGATTCATATAATTTGCAATATTTTAAGTCGTCTGTCAATCGTTATCTTGCTCTACAATCTTCATCTTTTCTCTTCCAGTAACTTTCAGCACTAATTAGTGGTTGCTTGCAACCTTGTTGGAAGCAAAGATAATTAAAAAAAAAAAAAAAAAAAAAAGTTGTGCGATTGCACGCCTCATGCAAAGGCATGTATATATATGTGTGTGTGTGTATATATATATATATATATATATTTATATATATATATGTATATATATATATATATATATATATATATATATATATATATATATATATATATATATTTATATATATATGTATATATATATATATATATATATATATATATATATATATATATATTTATTTATTTATATAAATATATATATATATATATATATATATATATATATATATATATATATATATATATATATATATATATATATATATATATATATATATATATATATATATATATATGCGTATATATATATATATATATATATATATATATATATATATATATATATATATATATTTATAAATATATATATATATAAAAATATATATATATATATATATTATATATATATATATATATATATATATATATATATATATATATATATATTTATAAATATATATATATATAAAAATATATATATATATATATATATATATATATATATATATGTATATATATATATATATTTATTTATTTATTTATATATATATAAGAATTTCAATTTTTAGAGTAGCTGTTGTGGGAAATGTTGATGCTGGTAAAAGCACGCTTTTAGGTGTTCTTACTCATGGCTCACTTGATGATGGTCGAGGGACAGCACGTTTAAAATTATTTAGACATAAACATGAAGCTGAGACTGGTCGCACAAGCAGTGTTGGAAATGATATTCTTGGTTTTAATAGTAAAGGAATTATTGTTAACAAGCCTGACCCTCATAGTAAGTAAGATTTTAAATACTTGTTGATTTCTTAACGACAAACTATTTTTTTTAAACTTTCATAGTGAGTCAGTGTTAAAGTTTTTAAAGTGATAAGCTAGTTTATAAAAAATTATCTGCAACACAGATGCAATGGGAAATATTTAAATATGATGACAGATGTGATAATGAGGATGGTAGAATAGGAACTTGCACAATTGATGAAGATTTATTAAGCTTATTTATGCTTAATAATTCTCTTATACCTTGATAATTCTCTTAAACATGCATAAGTATCAGTCTGTAATGTGTTTGCTGGCTCTCTTCAAAAGTGATATACACCAATTATCATCTATCTTTAATCTCCTAGTAACCAGCCCTCTAATGCTGATTTGCAAATACCACAGGAGCCCGTTTCTTGTCATTTCATTGATCATTTATTTGGGTTGCAAAGTATGCAGCATATTTGGTCCACAGTTTTTAATTGATGTATAGTCATGGCATTTTTTTATTATTAGTTATTTAGATACTCCAAGAAGTTCTAACGGTCTTATCACATTTAACCACTATCAGCATTTAATCAAAAAGCTCACGCTTCCTTCCTTATCAGTGATGCATATATGTGTACAGAGCTAGCTTCAAACCATGAACCTCCAGTTCTGAAGCCAGAACTCTAACCACTACACCACTGCTATCTCCATTGTATATGCATGTATCAGGCTTGGTCGGGAAGCGGGAGCGGTCGCTCTCGATTGCTGACCACGGCAATAATATTTAGTTGCGAAAAGCTGGCCAGATTTTTTAGTCGTTTTGAGAACATTTCAAAAAGCTAAAAAGTATTGCCCTTAAGAATAATTGGACTAATGAGAGACAATTACAAAAAAAAAAAAAAAAAAAAATTAGGAAAAAAAATATCTTTTAACGCGAAAAAACTTAAAGCAATATAAATTACGTTTAGAACAAATGAAAAATTAGGAAAAAAAATTTATTTTTATATAAAGTAACATCTTTTTTTTTTTTTCCTTTTTAAACAATTGTTTAAAAAGGAAACAAATGTTATTTATTTAACAAAGTTTGAAAGTTTCAGTTTTTAGTATTTAAGCTAAATTATTTTATAAATAAAAAAATTAATTTTTTTATTACCTATTTTATGTTTGAAAAGTTTAACTTATTTGAATCAATTCTTCTTAGTAAGATTAACAAATGAAATAATTAAATCATTGAATTACTAGAAGTTAAATTACCTAGATAAAAATCAACTAAAACAGTTAAAAATACTATATGACGAGGAAGCGAAACTGCTTCATAATATCGCTGATGATGTTTAGTGTTTTATTTTAATTAGTATTCATTCTAGTCTTTTATTAAAATGTTTTATTTTAATTAGTATTTAAAACAAAAAAAGTATAACAAGCTTTTACGAATGGCAACTGAAGCGAAAATAATTTGTATTCGCTTGTATATATATATATATATATATATATATATATATATATATATATATATACAAGCGAAAAGTTAGTAAACGAATATCTAGAAACTTAACTTTATATCTAATAATTTGCTATATATATTTGTGTTCTGTCATAACCTTAGGCGCGCTCTTTGTTCATCCGCGAGTTACTTTGTAATCTTTGTTTGTGTTTAGTAACCAGAAACTTCTTATATATTTGTTATATAATTAGTTTTATTAACTTTAGTGATGGTTATTAACTTCATTGAAAATGCAAATATTTTTTCAAGTCTTTGTTTACAAATTAAATCATAAAAATTGTTTTAAAAGATACATTACGATAAAAAACAGATACACAAAATTACATTTACATAAAGAATACATACTTTTTAAATGAAAAATAAGAATATACTAATAAATTCTATAATTTATAATAAACTTTCAAAATTTTGACAATTTAAATAATATATATTTAAAACTTTTATTTTTGTAAACAAATAATAACAGTTTATAAGATTTACGGCTTTGTAGATGTGGTTCCGAGAATGAGCCATAGTATTGATAATATATTCTTAAAACAATTTATTTTAGAAATCTCAAAACAAATCGTGAATAATACTATTTCTGAAACATTTCAATAGAATACTCTAAAACTTTATTTTGCTTAGTCAGCGTATTTTTTTAACCAATAGAATTAGTTTGGTCGTTGGCAGGTTTTTAGTGTTAATATTTTTTATATTCTTCCGCACCAAGATGTTTTGAGAGCATTTAAGTTTTTTATGTTTTCATGTATGCCCGTAAAACAAAAATTTTTTTTCGTACAAAAACTTAAATGTTCTCAAAACGGCTGAAAAACCTGGCTAGTTTTTCGCAACTAAGTATAATTTCTGTGGTCAGTATTCGAGAGCGATCGTTCCGCGCTTCCCAACCAAGCCTGATGTATTTGACACTAAACTTTGTTTTAAATGCATTGGTAATGATTATGGATTACTAAAATAATTATAAAATCCATGCATGTCTAACAATAAATGTTTAACAATTAAAGTTAATTCAATGCATAAATCCTAATACATCTGGTTTTCACAGAACAAATTAGCTTCCATGTGTAATTTACGATAAATACTTTTAATAGTCTACTCTTACATTATAGGGAATTTTTTATCTTAAAAAACATGGAATAAAAAATTTGTAAAATTTATTTAAGTAAAAAAAAAAATTTTAGTGTCCAAAGAGTTCATCTTTTTTGACCTTGGTCTCTGGAGCCCCAGAAAATTGAGAGAAATTTTTAATCCTTTTATGAAAGCTGTTGTTATGAACACTGTTGTAATGTTTGTAGTAAACCAAGGGTCAAATTAGTTAATCTCAAATTGTGTTGGCCAAAGCCAATAGCACTCTTGAATGTATATTATTTTATCAAACTTATCTAATTTTTGAACTTAGGTAAGTTTGAGTCACTTCGCCCCTTGTAACTGTTTTTATTTGCTCAATATCTTTTATTATAGTCACTATTGTAAGCAGAATTTATAGAGATTATATATATATATATATATATATATATATATATATATATATATATATCAGGCCTTGACAGGAATAAATAAGCACGAGACCGGAGAAAAGCTCTCCTAAAACGAACTCGGGGAGCTGTGCGAGCTGCTCATTTAAATCGGCGCTTTTTTTTTAATTTTGATTTTTTTTTTGCAGCAATTGTGATTTTTAAAAAGCATTGCAGTATGTTATGCAATTAATTTTTTTTAGATGACATTGTGTTTTTTATTTTAGTTACAACAATAATTATACTTTCGTAAGAGAAATTATACTTTTGCAAGAGTCGTAAATTGCTCCTGTAAACCATTTTAGGGGAGTGTTGGCAAGGCCTTGGTGGGAAGCGAGAGCTAAAGCTCTCACTTCCCACCAAGGCCTATATTTATATATATATATATATATATATATATATATATATATATATATATATATATATATATATATATATATATATATATATATATATGTATGTATATATATATATATGTATGTATATATATATATATGTATTTTGCTATTTGGTGATATAATATTTTTAATTTCATTTTTGTTTTCCTTATATTATATTGTTTATTTTTATTTTATATTTGTTTTTTTAAATAATATTAATATTTATATGGTGTGACTACACATATAGTAATTTATATGATGTGTTCACGTCATTTAATATAAAAATATTATTAATATTTTGCCAGGTGGAACATTAGATTGGACACAAATATGCAGAGATTCTTCTAAAGTGTTAACTTTTATTGATCTTGCTGGTCATGAAAAATACCTTAAAACTACTGTCTTTGGAATGACAGGTCATGCACCAGATTTTTGCATGTTAATGATTGGTGCAAATGCAGGGATTGTTGGAATGACAAAAGGTTGTTATTTGTTTTCCGTTTAAAGTAGTTTACTTAAAATTGTACTCAGCTTGTTTAGAATGTAAGTATAATAAATCTAGTAAAAATTTTTTGATATTATTGATAAGTATGACATACTTTATATTTGTTTTGAACATTTATGTTTATTTCCTAATGTTACTTAACAATAAATATTGCATCATATTAATGGATATTCGTTCTCTTTTTATCTGATCATTTTTGTTAAATGTTATATAATTAATTTGTAATATGATATATATTAATTTAAATATTGTACAATTACTTAGTAATATAATGTTGTGCTATGAAGTGGCATTATTTTAATTACCATTATGACATCATTTTGTATTCTAAATTTTATTTAAAATTTAGAATACAAAAAGGTAAAGAAAAAATTATTAATTTTTTTAATTTATAGATTAGAATAAAAGGAGATTAGACAGTTTTTAAATAAATTGAATTTTATATAGTTTTTGAATTAAATTAAGTTTTATATATATTTATTAAGAATCTTTAGCTCTACAAGAAAATATTTACGAGAAAATATTTTTAATTGTTGGTCAGATTTTATACTTTATAAAATGTATATATTTTAAGAAAATAACAAATGAACTTTTGCAATTTTTATGTAACATGTGTTAAGAAACTCATGATAAAGTTTTGGTTTTTATAAAATTTAGTTAAAAAACTTAAGTTTTATAATAATATATGCAAAAGATTATTAAATGTTATGTTTTTGCATTTAAAGTTTTGAATAGCGATGCTTAGTTAGACCACATTTTTTTCTTAAAAAATGTGCTCTTAACTAAGCATCGTAAGTTAAGTCTACAAACATTTACTTAAGTTCTGGCACTTTTTTGTTAACAAAATGAATTGTCATAAAGTAACTATTATTTTGTTAAACTGTATTAGAAGAATTTAGAAAAAAATCTTAAATTTTTTTTTGATGTTAATTAAAATTATATATATTATTGCTTTTTTATTTGTTTATATATTCTTATTTTAATTGACATAAATACGCATAAAAAATAAAAGTAAGAATTATATAAATATTTGAATTTAGACACTAAAAAAAAACAATTAATTTGCTATTCTCCTAATATAAAAAAAATCAGTTATAATTTTTTGTTTTTGTTTTAGTAAAATAAATCATTTGTAAATGCTATTAAGGGTCATCCATAAAGCATGTCACCCTATATTTGTCAATTTTTAGCCCCTTCCCTCCTTTCACAAACAATTACATATACCTGAACCCTTCTCCCTCCTATTCTGTGATAGCAGTTTTTTGTCAAGAATATTTCAAAAGATTAAAATGTTAATGTTTTTCAGCATTTTAAAAGTTCAACCTAATGAAAATAAGGCAATACGCATAAATGCGAGGAGTGTAAGTTAAAACTTTGACAAAGCAAAGATTTTCTTAATTAACTGATTCAAAATTTGAGTCATACTTATTTGAAATAAGTATTAAAAAGTTGTAATACTAAAATAATTTTTCAAAGTTGCTCTTGGTCTTGAAGACTAAGAAACTGTTTTCGATTTAATAACTTATATATATGTTATTAAAAATCACTCAAGAAGAGTGCCACCTGTTTTTTAAAATTTCCTTCGTTAATTTTTTTTAATGAATGAGTTCAATACTTTTGTAATACTTTTAAATAATAGAAGTATAAAATCCTCGATAATAATTGCAAGGTAATGTAGGTGATGTAACATAAGTTAGATATATATTATCGAAAAAACCAGTTTATTTTCCTTACCCGGTCACCTCTGATAAAATTTTATTTATATATTTTTTTAAATTTGCATAGAATTCTTAACATCTTGTGAAAATTTCTAATACAAACCGCTTTACTGATTCACAAAAATCTGACCTAAACGTTGAAGCAATTTTTTACCTTGTTTTCCGTGTAATTTTTTACCTTGTTTTCCGTGTTTTCCCTGGCATTTTCTGAAATAAATTCTCCCTCTTATGGCCAGACTCAAAAGTTTTTAGCTTATTTTATTCTTTAGACTAAAAGATTTCATACAAAATACATAAAAGTTTAATTTACAGTTTAAATAGGCAAATATTTGATATAGTTGTTGCGTGTGTAATGTAAGTTTAAAATTGATTTGCCCGTATGTATATATATATATATATATATATATATATATATATATATATATATATATATATATATATATATACATATATATATATATATATATATATATATATATATATATATATATATATATATATATATATATCAAGCCTTATTTTCAAGCATAAACTCGCCTGCCATTTACGTATGTGCTACCTAACTGTTTAATGTAAGCAGTAAGCATAAGGCACTTTTTATCATTTTTTAATATTTAAACAGCTCTAAAGATAACATTTAAGTGGTAAAAAGATAATTAACTTTATGAAAACCAATTTTCAAATTTAAATGACGATTACATAAAAAAATTTGCATAAAAATTATGTTTGATATCCATGCTATTTACAAATGTAATAAGTTTAAAAAAAAAAAAAAATTATTTGTATTATTTTAACTTTTCCAAAATTTTCAGCAAAAAAAAAAAGATGTTATTCAATGCTTGGAAGAAGAAATCATAAAAGAAGCATGTTAAAACAACTTTTATTTATCATCTTGCAAATGCAAGAATATTTTTTTAGGCAATAACAAATAATAAAAAAATGATTACTGAATTTTTTTAAAAACTTAAAAAACAAAACAAAAAATTAACTAAAAAATAGTTTACATTAAATTTTATTTTATATTAGCATCACTTAATATTTTAATTTTGTTTGTTTTGCCATAATGATTGATTTTATCAAAAAAAATGAAAAAATATTGTTGAAGCAATATAGCTCTTGCTATATTGCTTCAATAATGTATTGTTTTCAAAAAATTGAAAACAAAAAAATCCTTATAGTTTAGAAAGAATTTTGAATAAAAAAGTGATTTAAATTTAAAAAAATATATATATTTTTTTCAGTTATTTATAATACTGCATCAAAAATACTAATAAAGCATAGATTTAATTTTTTTGCCGTAAGGCAAGTGAAAGCCCAACAGTCTATTTTTTTTGATAAATGGTACTTGGAAACTTAAGTCTTTGTATGTCACAAAAAAAAGCGCTCGTAACATAATTAACATGAGTTTTTTTTTTCTTTGCAACAAATAATATTTTTTGTTTGTTAATTATTTAATAGTAAAATATCATTATTCCTACGTTGCAAATAATGCAAATTTTCAGAAATAATAGAAGAAAAAAAAGTAAGATATTTTAATTCATTTACACAAATGTAAAGAATAGAAAGAAATTGCTTTATGTTGAATGATAATAAAAAATGTAATATTAAATTTGATTATCTCAAAATCACTTAGCTAATGTACTAAGCCATTTTTTATTTAAAACAAAGCCTGTATTTATATATATATATATATATATATATATATATATATATATATATATATATATATATATATATTATATATATATATATATATATATATATATATATATATAAATTTATATGTATAGGGGAGAGTGGGGTGCCATGAAATATTGTAATTGTGGAGACATGTTAAGAGTTTTGACAACCACTTTCGTATGTTGAAACATCTGCTACTAGAGCGATATTTTGTAAAAAAAAGTTTATATCATTAGACACCATTAGGCTTGCGAGGAGTTAAGATATGTATTATTTTGATTACAAAGAAATTTATTAGTCTTTCAAGTTGATATATTTTAAGGTATTTTATTCAATGTATCTATTAACGAGTAACATTATTTGGTAAACTTCAATCCGAAAGCTTTTTACTTCTTTAAACAAAATCATTGAAAAAAATATATATAGTAAAAATAAAGCAATTGTTTTCTATAAGCATGTATGGGGTAGCATTTGTGGGGGAGGGCCCCAATCCTGTAGAATATTACTCCATTGTGTTGAAATCTAAAAATCATTTCTTTTAATGTTTATATTTAATTTTTGAGAGATTTATGTAAATATAATACTAAGAGATTCATTTTTGATAAATTACTATTTATTGCAGTTTAAAAATGACATTTAAAAGGATCTTTATGTGGTCTTCTGAAATATGATTGGGACCATTGGGTACATTATTTGGATTATAATTATTAATTTGTTTATCTTTCAAGTAAAAATCTGCTTTTTCTTTGTTTTTTACTTAATTTACTTTTTTAATGATGCTCATAGTGTGTATCAAGGTACTCCATGGGTGGGGTACCTTGATGCAAATTTCTAAATTTACTTTAAATAGTCTCACAAGTTTAACCTGTGATATTTTGGTAATTTATAAATTTAATTTTAAAGGTAAATATTTCTTCTACTAATTAAACCAATAGCCCAAAAAAAGGCATATTGAAAAATTGTTATAAAGCAAAAACCAAAACTGTATAATGGTGCGCCACTCTCCCCTATATATACATATACATATATACACATATATATTTATATATATATATATTTTTTTTTTTATTTGCATTCACTCCCAACAAGGCTGCAAGCAACCACTATTAAGTTAGGAGTTACTAGGGAAAAAAAAGAACAGAGTTATAGAGCAAGGAAACGATTGACAGAAGACTTGAAAAGTTGAAGGTTGTATGAGTCAGGAAAACATGAAGATGGGAGAGAGTTCCAAAGGATTGAAGTGCGGGGAAAAAAACTAAATGAATAAAAGTTTTTAGAGCATGCACGGACAGATACAGTAAACGAATGAGACTTAGCTGAATGACGAGTAAAACGAGAATGAATTTTAGTTGATGGAACTAGAGGTGATAACTCCTTTGAGCAGTGACCATGATAGTATCTGTAGAAAAGAGAAAGAGATGCAACTTTAGGACGATGGGAAAGAGGTTCAAGCTTAGCAGATAGTCCAGGTCCAAAAACATTTACAATGCGTTTTTGGACTTTGTCAAGAAGAGAAAGTGAATCGTTAGAAGAACCAGCCCAAATATGACAACAGTATTCCATACAGGGGCGAATAAGA